GTAGTAACACAACTGAGTAAGTGTTTCTGAAATACTTCATTCTAATAAACCCATAAGCCATGTTCACACTTGGGGTTGAAAGCATGCTCTCTCCTCATAAATCCTTCTGAGGGTCTTCCAGGAATTTACCCAAGAAGCAAGCCAGTGTATCAGGTGATGTGAGTTTCCTTTATGTAAATAAGAGGCAATATGTTCAGTGAAGTGGATGAAGCTTTAAAACCCAGTTCTGTCTCTGACCAGCTGTGTGTCCTTAGGCAAGGTGGAATTCTGTAAACAAATATAAAGAATTTCATTTTGACCTTTGTTAGTTTCCTCTTTCTGGTCTCCTCTGCGGTGAGGCGATAGATTCAATGGAAAAAATAGAGCAAAGTAGAATTTACCCTGTATGGCATTTGAGGCAGCAGTATAAGCTGTGTTAAATCGATTTTAGTATTATTCTTCTAGCCAGAAAAGGTGAAAGTGTAGTTTCCTGGCTTTCCCTTTCCTCACTGACCCCTCCCCTGAAGTCCCACTGCCCACTTCCCCTTCTTTTCCTGACCCCTAAAAATTGGATCGCTCTTGAGTTCTGTCTCAGCGTCTCTTCACGGTGGTTGGTTGGTCTCCTGGCTTTAAATATGCAGGTGACTTCTAAATGCTTAGCTCTCGTCCTCAGTGAGTCCCCTGAACTGAGACTCACATATCCAAATGTCTCCCTAATACCTTTGCAGTGGTGTTCAAGAAGCATCTAAGACTGAACGCGGCCAAAGAAGACTTCTCACTTCCTCCTCTTTCCTTTCCCGGCTCAATCTTCCCCATTGGAGGGAGCCAGTGTCCATGCCAGCTTATCATCTAGGTGTGTGCTCATCTGCCACTTCTTCAGGGAGGCCTGCTCTGTCCGTCCTTTCTAGAATTCTCCCCACTTCTCGATCATTCCTCCATCCTCGCCCCAAGAGAAAAGGGATCTTACCCATTGTTTGTTTACTGCTATGATCTCAGTACCGCAGAGAATGCTAGATGCAGAACGATTTATCTATTGAATGAAAGAAACACTGAATAAATGAATGAGTGAAAAAAAGGAAGAAAGCAACTTAACAAAGAATTTGCCAATGATTGGCGTGTAGGATGAAAAGAATTGGCTCAGTTCTAGACATGCTGTTCCTTAAGTTGATTTTTTTTTAATTCGAATTCATGCATTCTTTGTGAATTTTCTTCAGTGAATTTGGGCTTCAGGGAGAACTAGAGTAGTTAGGGCTCTTGAGGAAAAATATTTACGCTTAAGCAGTTTGGGGGTCTAATAGCAGTTATTGATGAAAAGATACTGAGTTCAGAGACTTTAAAGGCAAAATTTGATGATTATTATATGCTTTAATTCTCACAGTACAGCCGGATTGCTTCCCAGGCATCAAAATCTTTGTGGAAGTCCCCATCTTTTTTACTCTGTTGGCAGTGAGCGTGATGGATGGAAGTGGGCTGCCATGTTCAGATCTGCAGTGTCCGGCTGGAAGGATGTCTTACAAGGAGGTCTCTTTGGAACTGACTTCTGAGCGTTAATTTCTCCTACCAGGAGATCAGTAAATGACCCTTTCCACCTGCTGCCATCTGAATTTGGTGGCCTCATTGATTTTTGTTTCTGCTGGATGAATTTTCTAATCGGTTTCGAGGAGAAAGGAGATGGCATTTTTTTACATCTCTGCTTCTCTGCCAGCTTCTGTTTGCAGGGATGATTCTCTGCATCCAAATTAAACTTCACATGATGGTATTTTGCCCCTTTGCAAATTGATGAGTTGGGAAGCCTCATGCTTATGAAACACTGGCTTGCTATCTTTGGCCAGTATCTAGATTGTGAACTGGTGAAATTTTGAAAATAAAATCCCCGCTGGCCCCAGTAAGCAAGTTGAATGCAGAAACTACAATGCCACCTGCTGGCATTCTGAGGGAAATGCAAGTGATGCTTAGGAGAAGCACTTGTGTAACAAATAGATCAAAAATGCAAATTAAATATTTGAAATGCATGGTAATTTGAAGAAAGTAGGTAAAAATTAGGAAGTTATAAGTCAGCATTTTAGAGAGAAAAATATTGACTTATTTTGTGATAACTATGTAATAGCACATAACTTCTCTGTAATGTGAACTTTGGAAAAATGGGTTGAAAAATTAGAAATCAACCTTTGAATTTTTGAGACAACTTTATATACACTATATCCAGGTAGGGAGACTTGAATATGTTTTGGAAAGACAACCAGACTAACAGTGCCTCAGTACAGCTCCTTGTTGGCCTCTAACCCGTCAGGGAGCCTGTGCCTCTGGAGACTATGGTTTCCTGCAAAACTGGGATTGGGTTAAACAATGGGCAAAATTCCTTACAACTCAATAAAGCATATTATTCTAAATCAGCAAAGGACTGGAAAAAACTACTATTTCTTTAGACCATTTTCCCACGGAAACATTTCTTTCAGAAAAAGTGAAAGACATACGTATTTTTAGTTTATTACATACTTAACTGGTTTATCAAGAGCTAGGGATAGTTGAAATATTTGGTACTAAGCCGTTAGGTCAAGATTTTCCTAGTCCCGAGAGTGAGTCTGAAACCCAATGTGCCACTTCTTTTGCCGTCAGAGGTCATCTACAGAAAGCCTGGTGGTGGTGCTGGTTGGTCATGGACGGTTGTCAGTAAGGTAGACTGAGCCACAAATGCAACAGAATAAAATTTTGTTTTTTAAAAAACCCCAAAGTTTAAGAATTCAAACCTTCAGCATCAATATTAATTTTGAAGGATTTCCTGCCTTAATCCCCACTCACCTAGCCAGTGCTTCACTCCGCTGTCTGCTGGCGGTTGCCTTGCTTCTACTTCCGTGACCCTGAGCACTTTCCTTGCATGTGTGACCGCAGATTCTCCACTTCCTCCTCCTTCCTGCCCCTCTTACTTCCCCACCACATGCCCTCTCCGCTCCTTCCCCCTCGTCCTTCAGCCGTTGCTTCTCCTTCGCATGTATTTTGTTCACGGTTGTCACCCTCCCTCCACTGTGAGCCCCACTTCTTCATGATTGTCCATGTCCCTTACTCACAATAGCATCAACACCGAGTCATTTTACCGAATGAATGAAACATTGAGATGGTTGCTTCATGGAAGCCTTTCAAGTAAATATTTGCTTAGGTATTTCCATTTATTGTGTGGATCGAAAGGAAGAGAGTCTATTTTGGAAGCTAAACCTGGCAAAATGTGTTGACAAGGTAGATTTTCCTTACGTCTTTTTGTGTTGGCAGCGTGGTAGTCTGGGCGAGAAACTAGGCTACACGTCCAGCTCTTCAGTGGTCAGGTCCTTTCCCCGTTTTCTGTTCTTTGTTCTTCACTCTGTCCCCTCACGGACATTAGGAGTCAGTCCAGCTTTTGTACTAGTCAGAGACATTTTTCTCGCAGACTTGGGGTCTGAAGGTGCTTCCATTCTCAAATGTCGGTCAGTGGTCAGCCAGCATCGATGCAGTTATTCTAAAGAGAGATGACTTATCACAGGTGGCTCTGCATCAGAGGAAGACCCTGGACCCTGTCTGGTCATCTTAGGTCCCATAGGTTCCTTTTTGGCCACTGTGTTGAGCAGAAAGTTCACTCAGGTTCTCCTGTAAGATGTTATGGAATAACTTGAGTGAACTTCTGGGCCAGCCCAACACTTCTCTTCCTGATTGTGTCAGCGGAGCTCTGCCCTTCTCACACTAAAGAGTGTTTCACCGGTTGCCGCCTCCGCCCTCCACCCTGGGTGGATCTAGGTGCAGTGGAGATTCAGGCGTGAATCCTCTGAGCTGCCCTGCTTATGTCCTGATGCAGGTTCCTTCTTCCTGGCTTTCCTGCTCAGCAAACTCAGGGACACTGTGCTTACCTCTCGCTCAGGACCCACCTGGTGGAAGATGCTGCTCCACCTCAGCTCTTCCCCTTTTGAGAAAAACAATTTGAACTTTCTTTGGTTCTCCTGCCTTCTTTCTTTAAGTTGGCATCTGTTCATGTATTTTCTGGAGAAAGGCTTAATCACCTGGTCTGGGGCGGAGTTCACATTTCAGGTTCACACACTGGCAGCCTGGGGAGGGGAGGGGATGGGCCAAATCAGATGTCCAGACATGTATTGGTGAACTTGGACACATTTTTAAAAACATTGAGTTACTTGCCATCACTTAAAAAGGTGGAACTCTTGTTTTAAAAAAAAAAAGAAGAGTATATTTCTGGCTTCACTTTGCACTTTGGAAGATCTAGTGATACATGTAGCACGCTTGTCAGATGGCAGCAAGTGACCAGAGGAGCTCCATCCTGGCTGCTCCCTACCTGGGGCTTCCAGTCTCCTGTGTCTTGCTGTCCTTGGCCCTCTGCACCCTCCTGATTTCTCCTCCAGATGACCACCTGACTTATCTGCTGGGACGGTCTTCTCATTATGACCCATCTGCTGGGTCTGTATTCTCATTGGTCTTCTCCTTCCCATTTATATTAAAGATTTTTTTTTTAAAGTATGTCTGTATTTATTTATTTGACTCATGAGGTCTTAGTTGTGGCCTGCGGGGATCTTTTTTGTGGCTCTGTAGTCGTGGCACACGGGTGTGGGCTTAGCTGCTCCGTCGCATGTGGGGTCTTAGTTCCCTGACCAGGGACTGAACCCATGTCCCCTGCCTTGCACGGTAGATTCGTAACCACTGGACCACCAAGGAAGTCCCGGAAGGACCTCTTAATGGAAATAACTTAGCATGTAGATAATGATTCACAGAAATGGAAGACACTTCAATGATCACCCAGGCAAGTCCATTCCCTTCATTTAATATAGGTCGTACCCTGGAGTGAATCTTTAATTAGTGTTGACAAATGGCACATTAGCATGTTTCTAGAAAGGCAGCAGATGGCTGGGAAAGACTGTTGGTTAATATTCTGTAGAAATTTGCCTGGCTCTGCTAGGCTGATTGATGCTGGGTCCTACTAGTTAGGAGGGTCTTCAGGTCTCACATGAAGGGAAGGCTCCTTGATAATCACAGTTGTTTTTCTTTTGTAGGAATCCTCTGCATAAGTCAAACTCGGAAGACAGCTCCGTAGGTCAGTACCCCTTTTCTTGGTTTAACCATTGCTAATGAATTATTTCCTTTTAATGCTTTATAGAACGTATAAATATGTGAACATACAAAACCTACAAAGAATTCTTCCATCCAGAAATAAGCATTGTTAAGATTTTGATGTACAGCTTTCCCCTTCCTTTCTGTTTTTATGTGGGTTTTAAAAAGCATAATTTGGATCATATTCTACAACTGAATATATCCTGAGCATGTTCCTACATGATTGAGTACTTTTTACAGGAAAATTCTAAAGTCTGCATAGTAATCTGTCATGTTAGATGTGCCATAATTCAGACAGCCCTCTTTGCTGGGCATGTAAGTTGTTTGCAAATTTTTCTCTATCATAGAGAAGTGCTGCTACCACTGAAAATCCTTGAGCCTACCCATGATCACGTCTTTAGGGTGCGTGCTCAATTGTTCAGTCATGTCTGACTCTTTGCGACCCCAAGGTCTGTAGCCCACCAGGCTCCTCGGTCCATGGGATTTCCCAGGCAAGAATACTGGAGTGGGTTGCCATTTCCTACTTCAGTCTTTAGGGTAAATCCCTTCAATTTGGAACCTTTGAATGAAAGATTATGCACAATTCAGGTGTTCTTTAGTTTATTTCCTTGGTTATGAAATCGACTTTTCTGATTTTGTTACATTTTATTCTGTTTTGGTTTAAGAAAGTCTGGCAAAGTAGTCATAATTAGGAGCGTAAGTGCTGAAGTCAGGCCTTGATTTGGATTTGAATCATGACTCTACTAGCTGCTTAGGTGTGACCCCGGGCAAGTCTCTTGTCTCTCTAAGCCTCAGTTTTCTCATCCACTAAATGGAAACAAGAATACATCACATGTTCATCATTAGTGAGTGTTAAGTGAGATATGCCATTAGATACAAAGTGGATATGGTTAGTGCTGGAGATTGTTAGGTCTTGCCATTTTTTTTTTTAAAGCTGTGCCTCCATTTCAGAAATATTAAAATGGGAGGAGGGGAGAGTATAGCTTACAAGAAAGTGAAAGTAAAAGTTGCTCAGCTGTGTCCGACTCTTTACCACCCCATGGACTATACAGTCCATGGAATTCTGCAGGCCAGAATACTGGAGTGGGTAGCTGCTCCTTCTCCAGGGAATCTTCCCAACCCAGGGATAGAACCCAAGTCCCCCGTACTGCAGGCGAATTCTTTACCAGCTGAGCCGCCAGGGAAGCATAGCTTACAAGAAAAAAATCCTATTCCCAGATTGCCCGAGAGAGAGGTATTATAATCCCACTTCTGCTGCCACCTTTCATGGCTGACACTTAGTGTCGTGTTTAGCCCAAAGGCAGCAGGCACCTTCCAGATGCTGAGAGGACACAGGCAGCCTCAGGCCAGCGGGCTCCGGTTTCCCTCCGGGAGTCCTGGGGGTTGTCAGAACGCGGTGAGGGCATCCTGCTTTGACAAATGATGCCCTTGGCACGGGAGCGCTAGGCGTGGTGTTTCCACGGGTCTGTTTGATGCTGCCCCGCCTGGCACCACCAGTCTAGACCATGGAAGCCAACGGCGCATCACTCCATGGGGCACTTCTCCCGTGGCCGTGGAGCAACTGGACCCCAAACGGCCGACGAAGCCGCAGCTCCGGGTGTGCCCCATCCCTGAGAACAGATAGGGCTGCCGCCGCTTCATTTGATTTTTAAAGAATAAAGGGCCACCCTGTTCTTTCCTTTTCTTCGCTTGACCCCTCTCCTCTAGCTTTATAAAAGGTATTACGCGTTCCTGAGGACCACAGGCCGACCAGATAGGAAAACTGGCTAGCCATGACAGTGAAAATGTGTTTCACATCAAAGTCACCCAGAACCATCTGGGAAAGGTGGAGGTGTGTGTGTGGGGGGGGGGGTGTCGAGTTGGGAGATGTCGCAGCAGAGTGGCAGTTTGCTTTTCTTATCACGGTGCCCTGGGTGAGCTGTAGGGAGGTCACCAGGTATCCTGAGCATCAGAGAGGTGGGACTCACACCCCGCCTATGCCATAGCGAGACCCACACCAATTCCACACCGAAGAGGAAAAGGATGGGTCAGCCCCACAGACCCGTGAAACCAGCCCTACTCACCAATGTGCATAGCACATACCAACCATTGTGTTGTCTTTGTAAAGCTGGGATAACAGAAATAAATCAAGGGTAGATCAACAACAGAAATAACAACAAAACAAAGTTAACTTTTTAAAGCATCCTATTTGTGGTTCAGTTGAAATCATTGTGGCTGAGACCAAAGGGGGAAAACTATACCACAAGACAAGGCAGAATTAGACACAGTAGTTAAACAGACATCAAAGTGAATATAAGTATGCATGTTTTGCCTGCTTTTTTTTTTTGATGTCTCTTTATTTCTCATCTTAACTCCACTGTACCATTTCTTGCTCTGAGGAAATTTGCATTTCTTTTAAACAACTTTATAGGCATTTCTAAGTCTTTTCACAAAACTGAAAGAGAAAAACTGTCTTTTTTTGTGAAATCAAAGTATTCTGACAAGCTTTGAATTGTAAGGAAGAGGTTACTTTGGTTATTAATGAATTTATTGCTTGTGCCTTTTTTTTTCTTTTTTTAAAGGAAAGGGAGATTGGAAGAAGAAAAATAAGTATTTCTGGCAGAACTTCCGAAAGAATCAGAAAGGAATAATGAGACAGACTTCAAAAGGTACTGGAACACAGCTGGCGGACAGTAGGTCCTTTCAGCTCTAAAATGTTAAGACGTTTGGGGCTGCTAATCTAAACGGATGCTGTAAGTTAGAATAAGTCATTGCGTGTGCCCATAAACTGTTCAGCTTTTCTGACATTCCTATCATTACTTTAAGACTTCAGCCCAGTGGGTTTTCTTTTTTTTTTTTTTAAAATCAAAGAAAACAAAACGGAAAGAGTTCACAGTCCTTTCTTTTCATAGATCTGACAGCAGAGACCAAATCTTTCCTTTTCTCAATCACATCAACCTCAGGGAGATCTCTCCTGGCCAAGACCGGTCCTAAAAGTGTCTAGAAAGTCTTCGCGTTTGTTAGTTTTGGACCCTCCCCCCGGCCCTGCCACTTGGGACCTTTGCAGTCTTCGGAGCTCCGATGCTTTTCTGTGGCAGGGACGGTTATGGGGCTGTTGCCCCTGGAAACTGTCTCATGGGCTGACATCATGGGAATTTGCCCGGACTGCTTTGTGAAGGGAGTCCTTCCCTTCTCTCGGCCATGTCTTTTGTTGTTGTTTATATAGTAAGTAAATATGTCATCCCTTTGAGGCCCAGTTACATAATTTATGTTTCTCCAGCATTCAGACAGGGAGGGGAAACAAAGCTACTTCTAGATTCCAGTCTGGCTGGATAAGGTTATCATTAGATGAACATTTTTAGTTGCTCACCGCTGGCGCGATTTCTTTTCTTTCATGAAATCTCAGTGTCCTGCCCTGTGCAGAATACACAGTTATTCATACACATGGAAACGAGAAACACGGGCAGCCTGTATGCCAGGGGCACACCTGTGTTGCTTGGCGGTCATCAGTGGGCCTATTTAAGTTGTCTTGCTGTAAGGGAGTTATTCTTAAACATTCCCAGTTTCTCCTTTTGGGGACACACCCAGCATCACTTGAGATTCAAAGTTAACCCCAGATTCTAACAAAGTCTTATTTAGAAAGAAAGAAAAAAAAGGAGAGAGATGGAGTGAGGAAGCCAACAGCTTATCAGCTCACGTGGATTTCTTTTTAAGCCCAAGCAACTCCCTCCACCACTGGAGGCATTGAAGATAGTGAAATGAATCACCGCCGAGGCGCTCTCCCCTCACCCGGCACACACCATCACTCTTATTGCACAAGGGACTGAGTGGCGAAGGGCACTTGAGCGGTGTTTCTGGACTGATTGATTACAAAATGGAAATGAGATAAGGAAACCCAGGGGAACATAAATATCCACGGTAGGTCCTGACCACGCTGCATTCACACAAGTCTGCAGCCAGACTCGTTTAGTCCGGTGGTGATGTGTGTGGGAAAGACATGGTGGAGGAGAAAGGTGAGGAGTAAGAACTCCAGCCACATGAGAGCGCGTCTGCGCCTGACATAACTTCCCCACGTGCTGATCAGAGACACCTACGCCAACGTGACTCTCGTATGGAGAGCAGATGGCTACGTTCGATTTTCAGGAAAACTCTGCCCAAGGATGCTAATCGAGGAGTTCTCTTTCCCTTTGCAGTTCTGGCTGTCTTCAGTTCCATACTGGAAGTTGAGTTCCCCTCATAGGGTGGAAACGTATTTATGACAGTGGCACTTTCAGATATCCACATGGATAATGCCTTCCTTCTAATGAACTGAAAATATTTCATCCCTGTGATTATATTTACTTGTGCATGTTCCCTAAGGAACACCAGTCAAACTGTTTTATAAAAATCTAGGCTTTACCCACTCCTGTATTCTTGCCTGGAGAATTCCATGGAAAGAGGAGCTTGGCAGGCTACCGTCCTCAGGGATGCAAGGAGCTGGACACAAATGAGTGACTAACACACTTCACAGGCTTTTACCAGGCTGTGAGCTTTGTTCTGCGGCAGACACTGTGACCTTCAAGTTCTCTGTCTCAAAAGAGGACTCTTTTCCCATCTTCCACAGAAACATTTTCTTCTTGTTAATGTTTGAAATGGAAGGACACGGAGAACCCTTGGCTGAAGGAGCCCTGGAGTGCCCGTCTCCTCTAACTGGACCTTTAAATTAGGTCTCTGCCTGACCGGTCACTCCAAACTCCCTACTAGTCTTCTTCCAAAACTCCTCCACTAGACCCTCCGTCACAAAAACTCTGATCATTTTGAAGGATTTGTTTCCATGGTAACATCCATAGGTTCTTGGAGCTTGTTTTCCAATGAGATGGGCTCACTGGCTTCCCCAAATGCAGCCCATTCCTGCTCCTGTGGCTCCATCAAGAACAGGGTCCTGAATCACATCCTTTAGATGACAAACAGTCAAGACTGGCATCCTGTTTTATCTTTCTATTATCTTTCTCATTCTTATTGTTTTTCTTTGATCTCTAGGAGAAGATGTGGGTTACGTTGCAAGCGAGATAACAATGAGTGATGAGGAACGGATTCAGTTGATGATGATGGTCAAGGAAAAGATGATCACCATCGAAGAAGCGCTTGCTCGGGTAAGAGTGTGGATGTTTGGTTTACATTTGTGAGCACCTGACCGCCTTACATTGAAAAATGTTGAGGGATGGCTATAGACTAAATGTTTTTGTCCTCCCCCCACCCCACCCCCGCCAGTTTATATATTAAATCCTAGTTTGGAGATGAGACCTTTGGAAGATGATTAGCTCTTCAGAGTGAAGCCCTTATGAATGGGATTAGTGAGCTTATAAAAGAGGCCGCAGGGAGCTCCTCTGCCCGCTTCCCCTGTGTGAGGACACACGCTGTCTGTGAACCAGGAAGTCAGGCGTCATCAGACACTAAATCTGCCATCTCCTTGATCTTGGACTTCCCAGTCTCCAGAACTATGAGAAATTTCTGTTGTTTATAAGCCACCCGGTCTATGGTGATTGGTTATAGCAGCTCAAAGAGACTAGGACAGGGGCATCAAAGGGTGAATGGATAGACTGATAATGATAGATTACTTAATAAACACCAAGGAAAAGTTAAATGCAACCATTAAACACAGTTCTAAAAGAAGCCTTCAACAGATTAAACTTTGAATAAAAAGTCAAGCTTTATCTCTAAACCTTAAACTTTTGCTTGCTTTCATTTCTAAGTAGATATTAATTACAGTTTATTGTGTTATTTATTTATTTATTTTTGCTCTGAGTTAAATTAGGCATTAAAAGAAACCTTTAGTCGAAACATGTATATTATCTATAGTGAAACAGATCACCAGCCCAGGTTGGATGCATGAAACAAGTGCTCGGGCCTGGTGCACTGGGAAGACCCAGAGGGATCGGGTGGAGAGGGAGGTGGGAGGGGGGATCAGGATGGGGAATACATGTAAATCCATGGCTGATTCATGTCAATGTATGACAAGACCCACTACAATATTGTAAAGTAATTGGCCTCCAACTAATAAAAATAAATGAAAAAAATAAAAAATAAAAGAAACCTTTAGGACACTGGAGTAGCATTTATGATAGCAAGATAGCAGTTGCTAAGAGGTTTCCCACTTTGTTGCCCAGCTAACTGACTGATTAATTCTTGACTTTGACTTTGAATGCTTGGTTCACACGGTAGACAAGTCATACACTCGGCAGATTTAGAATGTCAGGTCACTAGGGAATCATTGAATGAGGTATGACTTTCCATTAAACAGAATCTTGAAGGAATGGAACCTTGAAACAGTGACATACTGAGTGAGTGGTTTCGTCACTTAAGTCACGTCCGACTCTTGCGACCCCATGGACTGTGGCCTGCCAGGCTCCTCTGTTCATGGGATTCTCCAGGCAAGAATACTGGAGTGAGTTGCCATTTCCCTCTCCAGAAAACCTTCCTGACCCAGGGATCGAACCTGGGTTGCCTGCATTGGCAGGCAGATTTTTTACTTCTGAGCCCTCAGGAAAACCCAACTTAGTTTATAGACTACCCAACTGTACACATCAGTAATCTAAAAAAACCTTTCATGTGTTGCTGAGACAATGCTGGGGGGAAAAAAATGCTTGAGGGCAGTGGGAGGTGGGACCTGTTGTAGGAGACCTGAGGTCTAAGGTCACCACCAGATGCCCACCTGCCGGCTTCTCTTGCTCTATTGAAGAGGAGCAGAGGTGATCTCAGCCACCAGCATCCTGGTGGGCTGAAGCTGTGCTGGGGCAGTGATGGAGCAGGTGACAAGTGACAATGTCCTGTCCACACTACTGATCACCTTCGCCTGCCCTTCACCCTCAGTCTGGTCTCCCACTGCCCCACCCCGCCTTTAGCCACCCAACCTAGCTGGGCCGATACGTCCACCATACATCTTCTCTACACTGCCATTCCTTGAGCGTGTCATAGCACTTGGAAAAAGTCCAGTTGAATTCCTAGAAAATGCATGTGAGAAACACAGACTGATATTAATTTTACCATGGTGGGCAAGATGTGTACTTCCTGTCTGGGGAGTGATGCTGTTACATTGCTTGTATAATCGTAAAATGGAAGCTCTGGAATGCAGAAGCTGTCTGCATTCATCCTGACAGCATCTGTGTTTGGCTAGAGAGTTTCATAGGACGCATCGAACTCAGTTTTCTTGGAGCAGAAGGAAATGTTAAAAGCATCAACTTAGTTAACACAGTCAAAAATTAACACTGTCAACTTGAGGGCACATGTTTCTATAATTAAAAAGGAAATAAAAGAATACTTTGAAAGTTGGGGAGGAAAAAAATTCAATGCTCTTTCTAAGCTGATACCTTTATCAGCTAGCCATTGTTTGCATGGAAAAGAAACCAGGAGTCAGCTCCATGAAAAGGTGGCACAGCTGTGTGGACGTGGATGGAGGTTGTAGCCCTGGAACCTGACTATTGCCAGGCTGGCTGCCTTTGCCTAATTTTAGAACAGAGCCCATCAAGACATCAAGAATATTTTCTATAAGGCAATCCAGAAACAGATTAAAGAAAAAATTGATAACTTTCTCCAAACTTTATTAGATTTTGCACACAAAGGTGGGTGTCCTTTGACAGATGATGAAATAGCAGGGGACCTTATTGGCCGGCTCTTGGCAAAGCAAGATGCATTCTTGATTACTAGCATCTGGATGGGCTTCCTTTTAGCCAGAAGACAAAACAAGAAAAACCAAGGATCTGCCTCCTTTAGCTTATGATCAGCTCAAGGATCTAAGTTTATTTGATCACTGTATAAAAGAAACATCAAGAATTAGACCACCTATAATGACCATGATAAGACAAGTGTCCTGACATCAGACAAGTGTCTTTTCCACTGTCAGTCAGAGACTAAAAGACCCATAGGTGCTTAATGCTTTTCTGTTACTAAAGAATTATTATAATCTGTTTCAGAGACTTGTCTAATTCTGTTTCACAAGACATTCTGCAAGAGGTTAAAATATTTGCATTTTGAAATTTTTATGTGTTTTCACAGCGTAGCCAAGGAGGAACTTGGAAAATAATGTTACTTATTAGCTCCTCCAATTCATCTTTTGTATTTGAATTTTCAGAATTTTCTAAAGTTATGCCCCTTAAAAGTTTACATACACTAGCTAGTAAATATCTGTGGTATTCAGGGCACTGACTTGCACAGCCTTTGGGGCACATAGAACACAGTTGAGAGTTCCTTAAACACTAGTGTACTTTGATGTATATTTCAAAGATTCAGATTATTTTTATCATAAGTCTGCATGCTGCTATTTAGACGCAATTAAGTACACAGTATGATTAATGTACTGTGATCATTTTACCACTCTTTAGATAATGTTGCACAGCCTACTGCTCTCCTTTTACAATTCGAGAAATTCAATTCTGAGACTGTGTGTGCAAGATAGTGACGTGGTCCCTGTGAGAAATTTCTAGGGTTGGTCTTGACTTACTAAGAAGGTGTAATTTTTCTTTGATGTGTTAGGAGGGATCTCATAACTTGTGTCCCGATTTGTTGTTCAATGTATTTTGTTGTTGTTGTACAATGTATTTTTGTAATGTTAATGAATTTAAGTAATTAATTGGAAAGTTTTGACTAAAAGCAGACCCCTAGGTATAATGTCTAGACTTCAGTTGTAACAGGAGAGCCCAGCACCAGGAGAGAAGCTTGTCTCTCATCTGGAGCACGGTGTATCACCCTGTGTTCCTGTATCGGGGCAACTTTTAAAACGAAAGGGTTAGTCACTCAGTCGTGTCCGACTCTTTGTGACCCCATGGACAGTAGTCTGCCAGGCTCCTCTGTCCATAGAATTTTCCAGGTAAGATTACTGGAGTGGGTTTTCATGCCCTCCTCCAGGGGATCGTTCCCACCCCGGGGTTGAACCCGTGTCTCTTACTCTTCTGCACTGGCAGGCGGGTTCTTTACCACTAGAACCAGACCGGGGAGAATTTTGCCCATGTTCAAATGAATACAGTTTGGCCCACAGTGCTTTGTTTATATGAATTTGATTGCTGAGTATTTACCCTCTGTGAAGAGTACGGCCATGATTCACAGTCCCAAAAACCCAGTTATCAATACAAAGATAAAAATGAAAAAGGCTGCAAGGAATTAATACGCGAAACACCACTGTAAGTTGCAAAAGCATTTAAACATAATGAAGTTTACAAAATAACTCTCTGTAAACAGTGTGTAATTAAAAAAGACAGCAGCTTAGCTTAACAATTTTTAAATTTTTGTTAACTGAATAGTTCCTTCAAACTGTTGACCATGGGTAGTTCTCCTGAGAAGGGTACATGCCCGAGTCTATATCTATGGTAAGTGGGAAATTGGAGAACAGGTTTTTTTTTTTTTTTAAAGGGAGTCTGGGCATCTGGTATACCAGAGCATGCGATTATGAGCTGAGAACCCATATATATTATTGAATCATTTCCTTGTAGCAGCTCTTGCACATCAGTCATAGGAATGTGGGCAGCTAAAGGCTCATGAAGAGAGGCCGTAGGAGAGCAACAAAGTGATTGAGGGTTTTTTAAAAAATAGGTCTCGTGGGCTGAAATTGGAAAGGATTTATCTCAGAAAAGAAGCAGAAAGAACTTATTCACTGTCTTCAAGTATATGAAGGATTATTAAACAGTCCATCTTTAGGATGTACTGAACAGTTCTGTTTTCATCTCTACTGAGGAGAGAATAAAAGGGAATGAATGAAGATTGCAGCTGGAGGAAACTTGGATTAAATATAAATGTTCTTCATAATAAGCACTCTTAGAAACGGGAACATTTTAGAATCGCTCACCATGAAAGTCTTTACAACAGGATAAGCATTAACCTATTAAAGATGGCCATCCCTCTAAGAATTGCGTCATAGACTTCAAGTATGAGAAAACTGTGAGACTTAGGAAAATGGGATGTGAAGGTAGTAGTTCCTCCTGAGATAGACAGATGGACAGAAAGACACACACACACTTTAAAATGCCATTATTTAAAAACTCCCAGAATTAAAGTAAAGCTCCATAACTTTGCTTCAAAATATATACGTTTCTCAAATGAACATCATCAGTTGTCTTTGGGAGCAGAGTGGATTATAAAAATGTGATTATGTAAACAATAACCAGGCTTTCTTCGTTGTAAAATGTTAAAGATCGTGTGTGTGTGTGTGTGTGTATGTGTGTGTGTTTTAAGTTGGGAAGTTAAAAATCAAGGTAAATTTAAGATAGAGCACAAATCCGAGTGTTTATCAGAAGCATGTGGGAAATTTCCTGGTCCTGGTGGTCCAGTGGTTAGAACTCTGCATACTCACTGCCAAGGGCCTGGGTTCAATCCCTGGTTGGGGAACCAAGATCCCATAAGCTATGCAACCAACAAATGAATCTTTTTTTTTTTTTTAAGGAAGAAGAAGCACATGTACTCTTATGCTTCAAGATAAATAATAGAAGTAGACAGATAGCAAAAGAAAAATGTTGTCTCTTTATGATTAACTGGGGAGTACTTTGTTTTATTTTCCTGAAGATGAACTGTTTATTTAGTGCCTCAGGGAACTTGGGGCTAATGTTAAGTAAAGTAGGGCAGGAACCCTGAAAAGCAAATGATAACCCCTCTTTTCAGAGGGCAGCTGTTTTGATCATACAGAAAGAATAATGCACTTCTGGAAAGGAAGAGCATGCTAGTATGTCACTAAGTGTATTATAGAGATTAGAGCATATCAATCCCCCTAATATACTAGAAAGATTAAAATAATATTAAGTGCCTGAATAACAGAAGTTCAAATGTCTAGAATTGTTGTGAACTTTGAGCTCTCTTTTACTTGGAACCACAAGGGTGATAATAATGTGTGTATGTTAGTCACTTAGTTGTGTCTGACTCTTTGCGGCCCCATGGACTATAGTCTGCCAAGTTCCTCTGTCCACAGAATTCTCTGGGCAAGAATACTGGAATGGCTAGCCATTCCATTCTCCAGATCTTCCCAACCCAGGGATCGAACCCACGTCTCCAGCATTGGCAGGTGGATTCTTTCCCATCGGAGCCACCAGGGAAACCCGACAGTACTACCGTAATAAGTCTGTTGCAAAGGGTGCAGTGTGTTAAACTTGCTGTGTGTCTTACTTTTTCTAATAATAGTCCTGTGAGATAGTTTATTGTCATCACATTTTCCATGTGAAGGAACTGAAGCTATTTGGGAACCCTTACTTGTTAATATTGTCTGCCTTCCCCAGTCCATTTCCTGTCACACAGAGAAAAATTTCAAAGTAGAAATAATGCTTTGCAAGGTTGCTTTTTTGCTAGTAGAATGGCTTTGCTACATCCACATAGCTCCAGTGGTAAAGGACAGCCCTGGTACCTTCTGAGCTGTTAGGTCAGATTGTTTCTGTTTTTTGGTGTCTTGATTCATGGACCATGATTTGATCAATGTCTTGAATTTGTACCTAAAAACTGCTTTGTAACAGAATTTTAATGCAGCCGACAACTTAATTGTATTATACAGATAGCTAAATTTCTACCTGTTTTTAGGAAAACACCTGGAACTTCTCACATTGCCATTCAGAAAGCTCGTTCATCTATTTCTGCTAGGTTACATTGGTTAATTTTCTAAAATACCTCGTTTGTCTAACTTTAAATGTCTCTGAACATATTCAAAATATATTATTCTCTCATCCAGAGGATCCCAAATAAATCCTATAACATTTGTTAGATGATAACATTGAACTGAACTTGAGGCAGTCAGGACAAGCAAGCAATTTTTAAAAATCACTTTCTGGCTTCCACCTCTGTTTTACTAAAATATCCCAAGTCTACACCTTGTGTGTTCTGTAAAGAGGGACTCCAGAGGCCAGACTACAGACAATTTCTGTTATCAGACTTCCAATTAAACTGAGAAAGATGAGTCTTGATGTTGGAGGGTGTTGGAGAAGGAAAATCAAGGTTCTTTTTGGAATACAGAATACGGGGAGTCCGTTGTGTCTCTTGGTTTGGTTTAGATGAAAACCTTCAAGACAGGGCTTGTATCTTCTTTCTGTTTGGGGACCTTTAGCTTTGGCTGGCACTTGGTCACCAACAGCGCTGTGAAGATGGTGCCCGAAGTATTCTTTCTGCTGCTAGGTAGACAGTCTGGGCCATTATTTCCGTTTCAGTCTTCCATTTTCTCTTGTTGCAGCTCAAGGAGTACGAGGCACAGCGCCGGCAGTCCGCTGCCTTGGACCCTGCTGACTGGCCAGACGGTTCTTACCCAACGTTTGATGGTTCATCAAACTGCAATGTAAGTTTACTGTCTCTTTGAGCATTTAACCAGTTCTACTTAAAAGGGACAGCCTTCACCATTTCAGTCTTTGGGCTTCTTTTTGCAATTACCACCTCCCACCTGGGTCTGAAAAGAGGTGTCTCTTCTGAGCTGTTGTTCTTTTCTTTACCTGATAGTCAGCAGTTGGAATGGTGCTGTTCATTCTGGTTGGTTGGTTTGCTTTATTATGGTCAAGTACAACTTAAAGTTTACCATTATAAGCATTTTAAGTGTTCAATTTAGGAGCACTAGGTGCATACACTTTGCTGTACAACCATCTCCTCAACCCACTTCCTGAACTTTTCCATTATCCAACACATATATTCCATAACCATTAAACAATAGCTCTCCATTCTCGCCCCACCTTCTCCAAACTCCTGGCAACCACATTTTACTTCCCGTCTCTATGAATATGACTAGTCTAGCTACTTAAAATGGAGAAGGAAATGGCAACCCACTCCAGTGTTCTTGCCTGGAGAATCCCAGGGACGGGGGAGCTCGGTGGGCTGCCGTCTATGGGGTCGCACAGAGTCAGACACGACTGAAGCGACTTGGCGGCGGCAGCAGCAGGTACTTATAAAGGGCCTATAGAAGTGAACTCATACAATCGTCGTCCTTCTGCGTCTGGTTTATTTCACTCAGCCCCTTGTTTTCTAGACTCATCCCTATTACAACTGTACTAGAACATCATTCCTTTCCATGGACGAGCAATGTTCCACCGCACATGGATACCACTTTTGTTTAATTTCTCTGTTTAACTTTTTGAGCTGATGCTGTTTAGTTTTCCACAGCAGCTACACCATTTCACATTTTTTTTTCATTTATTTTTATTAGTTGGAGGCTAATTACTTTACAGTAATGTAGTGGTTTTTGCCATACATTGACATGAATCAGCCATGGATTTACATGTGTTCCCATCCTGAACCCCCCTCCCACCTCCCTCTCCATCCCATCCCTCTGGGTCTTCCCAGTGCACCAGCCCCGAGCACTTGTCTCATGCATCCAACCTGGGCTGGTGATCTGTTTCACCATAGATAATATACATGTTTCGATGCTGTTCTCTTGAAACATCCCACCCTCGCCTTCTCCCAGAGTCCACAAGTCTGTTCTATACATCTGAGTCTCTTTTTCTGTTTTGCATATAGGGTTATCGTTACCATCTTTCTAAATTCCATATATATGTGTTAGTATACTGTAATGGTCTTTATCTTTCTGGCTTACTTCGCTCTGTATAATGGGCTCCAGTTTCATCCATCTCATTAGAACTGATTCAAATGAATTCTTTTTAATGGCTGAGTAATATTCCACCATTTCACATTCTTGACAGCTGCATGGGAGTTCAGTTTCTCTGCTTCCTCACCAATACTTTTGATTCCCCCCCTTTTTTTATACTAGCCATTCTGAATGGTTATAAAGTGATATTTCATTGTGGTTTAGGTTTGATTTCTCTAGTGTCTGAGATTTGATTTCGCTAATGTTTAGGCATCCTTTTTTATGTGCTTGACCATTTTAATATATTCTTTATAGAAGTGTTTATCAAGTTATTTGCCCATTCTTTTTTTGGGGGGGAAGGGGGGCTCGTCCGGGATGCCCATTCTTCAGTTGTGTCTTTGTTCTGTTGGTTGGTGAGTTGTCAGAGTTCTTTATATATTCTGAATATTAATCCCTTATGTGGTGCATGACTTGTAAATATTCCTTCCCATTCCGTGAGTTGCCTTTTCACTCTTTTTGTTTACCATGCCTTGTGGCATGTGGGATCTTAGTTCCCTGACCAGGGATAGAACTCACGCAGACCACCCGGGAAGTCCCACCTTTTTATTCTCTTGGTAATGTCCTTTGAGATATTAAAGTTTTAAATTTTGAAATCTAATTTGCATTTGCTTTTGGTATCATATCCAGGAAATCATTGCCAAATAATTGTGGTGAGGATTTTCCCCTGTATTTTCTTTTAAGAGTTTACAGTTTTAGCTCTTAACTTTAGGTCGATGATCCATTTTAAGTTATTCTGTGTATATGATAGAACATATGCATCCAACTTCATTTTTTTGTGGGTAGATTCCCGGTTTTCCCAGAACCATTTGTTAAAAAGACTGTCCTTTCTTCATTGAATGGTTTTAGTACCCTTTTTGAAAATTAATTGCCCATATATGTAAGGGTTTATTTCTGGGCTCTCTTATTTTATTCATTGGTTCATATGTCTGTTCTTTTTGATTAATGTAGCTTTGTAGAAAGGTTTGAAATTGGGATATGTGAGCCTTCCAAGTTGGCTTTTCTTCAGACTGTGTTAGCTATTAAAATCCCTTGAGATTCCATATGAGTTTTAGGCTGGATTTTCTATTTCTGCACAAAGAACCGTGAGATTTTGATAGGGATTGCATTGGATCTGTAAATCAATTTGGGTAGTACTGTCATCTTAACAATATGAAGTCTTCCAATCTATGAAACAGGCTATCCTTCCATTTATTTACATCTTATTGGTCTTTCAGCATTGTTTTGTAGTTTTCAGTATTAAAGTCTTGCCTCCTTGGTTAAGTTTATTTTTAAGTATTTTATTCTTATTATTATTTTTACACATGATAACATTAATTTCCTTTTCAAAATGTTCATTATCAGTATATAAAGATAGAACTGACTTTCATACATTAATTTTGTACTCTGCAACTTTGTGGAATTTCATTATTATCTCTAGTAGAGTGTGTGTGTGCATGTGTGTAATCTTTAGTGTTTTCTGCATGTAAGACCATATCACCCATGAACAGAGGCAATTTCATTTCTCCTTTTCCAGTTTTGATGCCTTTTATTATTCATTTTAAAGTGACCAAAATAGTGCTTCCCAAGAGTTCCACCAAGATCATAGGAATTAGAGTTCCAGAGTTTCAAGCAGACATTTCATGGTGTGATCATCAAACTTTATGACATGAAAATGAAGGGAGTTCGCTTTATTCATCTATTACACAATGATTTTGTTTATTAGGTCGTTTCTTCCTTAAATTCTGGAAGCAACTCTGCCTCCGTGTTTTCAGTCTCTTGTTTCCTCTTGTTAATGCTCCATACAGCCAGTCATCTTTCCAAAATATACTCCTTTTCTTACATCCCTGTTTCACAAAAGGCTGAGGAGCTTCCCAGGTGGCGCAGTGGTAAAGAATCTGCCTACCAACGCAGGAGACACGGATTTGATCCCTGGGTCAGGAAGAACCCCTGGAGGAGGAAATGGCAACCCATTCCAGTATTTTTGCCTGAAAAATTCCATGGACAGAGGAGCCTGGCAGGCTACAGTCCACAGAGTCACAAAAAGTCGGACACAATTGAGTGACTAAGCTTACATGCATGCACAAAAGGCTGATGGTTTTCCAGTTTTATAAGATAAATTTCAAACTTTTTGGCAGACTCAAGACCCTAAGTGATCTGGCTTTAATCAATTTCTCTACTCCCATCTTTCATCCTTTGCCCTAACAGCCTCCACTCCATCCACACTGGAGCCTGCGTGCATTACTGATCATAACTTGTATTTTCACACTCTCTGCTTTAATTTGTGCATTTCCTAAAAGGTCTTCCTCCATATTTTCCAGGTTAAAAATCTTCAAGATGAGGTCCAACTGCCACCTCCTCTGAAACTTTAGCATCCTCAAGTATATTCTCATAGCTTTCTGTTCTGCACTTTGTTAAATTAGCTTGCAACACAAAACCTAACAGGTGTCCTGGAGTATCTGAATTAATTGTATATCAACCTCCATGGAAATTGTGAGCTTCTTGAGCAAGAAAGGCATGCCTAGCACAGTGTTCAGCTCCTATAGCTTGTTTGAGAAATATTCAGTGCACAAGCTTGTATTTGAGTGGTCATTCTTCTTGGCTGCTTTTAAGAGCATGTTTTATGTCTGCCAACTACAGACTCAGTCTTATACTTTCTTTGTATTTAAGTAACAAATGATGGCATATCTATAGTAAATATAACCCTCCCACTGTCTTCTTGTCCCTGGTTTCCTAAATCAAGCACCAGATTCCATTGCAGCTAAAACAAACAAACAGACAAACAAAAGGCCCACAGGATTATTCATTTGAAAACACTGCATGGTATGGTGTTGTGTGCAGGGTTCTGAGACTTTACCATTTATAATAATAAATGTGTCACATGCTAGCCAGCAGCATGTCCTAGGACTATGAGGTCATCAAAGGAACCATATCTGTGGTTTTCAATGTGTCTTTTGGGGTCTCTTATCCCCTAGTTCTAAAGACTAACATAATTTAAGTGTAAATCATGAATCCAAAGAATCATGAAGAATAAATACAGTAACTCGGGACTCATTGTGATTCAGACCCAACTCGGAGGAGGGAAAACAGAAAGCCCCAGTCATCCATAGTGGGTCCTTTAGTGTCCGTCTCACTGGATACTGTCCTGATTAATAGCATCTGCGTCAAGAGAGAGGTTATAAGACTACCCATTCAGAGAAACAGGCCAGTAGTAGAACCTCACATACTTAGATGGCAAGGAGAGAGACTTGTCTCATTTAGGAAAAAGTTACTATAAAACAAGTTGCTGAGAAAACATTCTATTAAGTATTGGTTTGTTGAGCCCCTTTTGGAGGGTAAATCACAACCATCACCTTGATATCAGCTGTCAGAATGAAATGGGTACTTCTTAAAAGTTGGACTCTAGCGCATTTCTTTGTTCATTTCAGCTCATCTATAGAGCACTTGCTATGTGCCAGGCTTTGTGCTAGGTATTCGGATTACAAAGTGAAGGGGGAGACTCTGCCCCCGTAGTGTTTACCCTGGGATGCAGAAGTTAAAACCCCCTCACTCCTGCTCACAGAGATTCATGCACACACTTAGTTATCACTTCCTTGGCAAACTGTTTCTTCATAGATGGCTCAAAAGTATGCTCAGCCTTTCCCAGTTGGACGGAGGGCCAACGATACCATATGCTCCCTCCACTTCCAGCACAGTTTCCCAGAAAGCTCTAGAATGACTTACAGTACTGG